AACGAATAACCATTTGAAACTCTCACAGACCAATAGAAATGTCTGCAATGAGAGGAAGTAGACACCAATTCAATTCATTTTATTGTACTGATAGTCAAATTAAAAGAGACTTTTAAAACAAATATGTTTCTATCTTTCTTTAACATTTTAAAACATGGCTTACACTAAGTAAGTTTGTTTTTCAATAATTACTTTTATAGGTATGAAATCTCTAAATTAAACCTTGTTTTTAAAACAAATCCAAATGCCCAGCCTTGAAAAGCAGAAAATGATAATGAGAATGAATTAATGAAATATAGGAAGTTTGAAACAACCTAAGTTCTCAAACCTTCAAATGCTCCAGGAAGTAAGATATTAATCTCAACATCAATGATAAAAAGTGAGCCAGATTATTCAACATGTATCAGGGCAATGGATGATATTTCATTTAAAAAACACACTTAGCAATTGAAAAACCTTGCAATTACTGGATTCAGTGTTAGTTTGTATTTGAGCATACACTCAATTAGGTGACAACATCGTGTCACACAACTGCAGTAATGCTGTCCACCACTAAAACGAAGGAAAATTCTAGAAGCAGAATAGAAACTTTACCCAAGGCAGCGCACCAATGTGATCCTCATGTCCATGAGTTATGATAACTGCTTCAATTTTGTGGCTCCATTTTTCAATGAAGGTGGTATCAGGAATAATTTTCACGACGCCAAGCTCATCATAGCTGGATAAATGTCAAAGGAGATCCAGTATTGATCCAGAGAAAGTGTAAGGAGTGTAAATTAGAAAATCAAAATGGCAACAAATCCTTTTGTTCAAAAAGTAAATAGAGGGAGTTTTCTGGATGTGAGTGGGGTTGGGGAAGATAAGCAGTCCCCTTCTTAGCAGGATTATCAAAATTTAGTTACTGGGTTACACATACTGTAATTATATTTAAGACACTTGATAGATATCTAACAAGCGGTACCTAGCCTCAAGTGCTGGGGAACAAATCTTTTAAGAACTGTAATCAAGGGTCTTTGTTTATACTTACCCGGGGAACATTACACCAGCATCAATCAGTATATATCGATCATAATACCCAACAAGCATGCAATTCATCCCAATTTCTCCTAAACCCCCAATGGGAAGGATTCGTAAAGGCGGGCCATCAGACCCTTCATAAAACTGTTCCATCTTTCGTTGAACAGCATCTTCCATACTTTTTCCAGCACCTTCACCTTTTACATTCCTTTTACGTGGAAGCTTAGCACCACGTATATCTGAAAGAACATTATGCATTAAGTTAGTCACTATAAATAAAATTTCAACCAAAAAAGTGCGGTAAATGCTTAACCAACAGAAATTCAAAAATAAAGACTCCACTTTTAAAGTTTTAGCCCATAAAATCCATTCCATGGCAGAGTCACAGATGAGTTTAGACACTATAATTGCGAAAAAATGCAGGAGAGCCATTTAAAATAGGGAAGCAGAAGTAAACATTAGGTATCAAAAATTGATGGGTAGGACCTGCATAACCTGCATTTAGTTCGACTCGTATGAGTAATGGGACCACGTAAAAGCAAAATAACTTTAAAAAATAAAATTAAACAACAAAAATGGATATTTCAAACTAGCAAATAAGGCTGGCTGTTTGAGAATGGGACAATCGGTCGTGTAACTCGTGTTGGGTACCTTTAACAGACGGAGTACGCACAGAGCAAGAAATGAATCGTCGTCTAAGAAGAGGCTGATACCATAGCTTGTATGGACACAATGAAACGCCAGAGGTAAAAGAAGTCACAGCCATCTTCATTCGACAATCTTATCTATCTGTGTGCATATAATATGCGAGTCTGGACAGACGGTTTAGCTTCCTTCTTCTCCCAATATACAAATGGAATTGAATAAACCGGGATTGGTGCGGCTTAGCTAGGGTGAAAGAGCGCGGAGAGTGTTCAGTGTAGAGATAAAGTGGAGAGAGGGGATTGAAACGCTGGCCTATAATATCTTTCCTATCCGAATTGGTTTTTAGCTTTGTACTTTGTTAGGAACCACGGGAGTTAAAATTAGAAGGAAAATAATTGCAATTTTATAGAAAAATAAAGTGAAATTTAAATTATATTAGTTTTTTTTTAAGGAAAAAATTATATTATATTAGTTAGTATAAAATAATTAGAGATTAGAAAATAATAAGTGAATAAAAATTAAGGGTGTGTTTGGTTGGTGGGTTTTGCCTATAGGAATGGGTGTGAAAGTGATTGTTGTCGTTTGGTTGATAGGTTTTTAGAACATTAATATGGGTTTCGAATACCCCATCAATTGAAAAACCTATATCCAAATAAAATAAGGGTTTCATTCCCTTATTCATTCTCAAGCACTACTATTAGTAACCATTCTCATTCCACCCTACTACCAAACATGTTAACTACTTCCACCAAAATCTATTACCCATTACCAAGTATTTGATACCCATTCTGATTCCGATTCCTATGTGCGAACCAAACACACCCTAAAATATTATTGTATACTAATAAGAAGAAGATTAAAATTGTAATTTACTATAAAATTATAATTATAATTGTATTCTTGAACTCGTGACTTCTTATATATGAGAAAGTCACGGAACTTCTTGTTACTAGACCACAAGGACATTTGTTGGTAATTGAATTACATAGACATACATAATTGATAAGTTACTTTGCTCCTGACATTTGAATTGATTTATTTTGCTGATAGAAAATATAATGCCGGTAAGTTACAATATATTTTGCTTTCGATTAATATTGATTATTGATTTAATTTGAACGAGACTGACTTTGTTTAATTATTTAGGTTCTTCCATACTTGTTGCATCCTTCAACAAAATATTATAGAAAAAAATTTAATTTTTGGTTCCACAAGTATGAGATCATTTTCACATTTGGTCTCTGACTATTTAGAATTTTTAGATTTAGTCTCACAACTTTTAAATTTCTACCCCATTTCGCCCGCCGGTAATTATTTTTCCGGCGAGGGAATTAACTTAAGGGTAAAATCCTACCACATTTGGTCCTTTAGATCAAAATGTTCTTGCTATAAATGTTGTATCTCGCAAAAGCTCTGAAGGGTTCTCAAAATTAAGGTACTTCTTATCATTAGTACTTTCAACTGGAAAAACTTTAAGCAAGCAACTAAATGCTCATGATTTACTATCTTGCCTTTGCAATTTCAAAAAAATAGTTTACTGCTTCAAATTGATGACAAAGGGTAGTGCATTTTATATTTGAATTTACTCCATAGAAGCATTGTAATTACTCATTTTGTGAATTTGTTAAACAAATAATTTACCACGAATTTAAACATTAATTCATTTTGTGTTGCTGCATTTTGACCTGCAAGACTCGTTGAGTTCTAATTCAGTTTTCCTTCACTGCACTTGTTCAGAGAGGTGTTGTTGATGACTTCTTTTCGGATCTCTGATGATGATGGTGATGGTGATGGTGATGGTGATGATGATGATGATGATTATTATTATTATTATTAAACACTTATATAAATAAAATTGAGCTTATAACGAAATAAATATAACAAATAATCAATGCAAGTCCACTGGACCTAGTATATTGACGCTATGCACAACTTATGGCAATTTATATTATGAGACCAGAGTCTATATAGCATTGTAGATCCTGTATCAAAACAATATAATTTTGATCTTTAAATTGTAATGATTATACAGTTTTTTCGTATTTCATGTTTATACACAACTACTAATATATTTCAAGTACATAATTTATACTTTGATATATAACTTAATAACGTAAGACACAACAACTCACAACATAAGACACATATACTTTGTAGTTAAAAATGAACTATAACGTGAATTGAAATACCAAACAGCTGTTGTTAAAAGTAAATCGAAAACGACATCATATAGGACCAAGGTCCACAACGTAAAGATCCACAACTTACTAGCAAGTTTGTTGGAAGCTACCAACTCCCATGGGCCAATGACTAATTAACATATGACAAAAGTCTAATGGAAGTCAATGAAAGGCCATGTTTGATAAATAGTTGTGATAAGGAATATGTAAATACGATCAGATGTATTTGTACGATGTTGATCGGGACCAACCATCTCTGCTCGGACCTAATCCCATCTTCCGACCAAAGTTTTCAATATGAATAAGCATCTGATAGACTCCCCTTGATGTTGTACCAACCATTCCTGATTGGACTTGATCATAAAGCACATTAACATGATTAGTTGCTTTTGTATTTGTCTAAAACATGGTATAAAAAGCTACTATATATTTCTTAAGGAAAAATAGGAATAAGGTCCAAATTAGCTACCGAACGTAACCTGAAAGTGTAATTATGTCATGAGACGAAAAAAAGAGTGCAATTAGGTCACCGGACACTCTAAATGTATTCAATTTCACCTGATAGCATGTTACCATTAATTTCATCAGGTTGACTTTGATGGTGAGTTACTTTTAAATAATTTTTAATAATAAATTATAAAAATAATAAATAATAAATAATAAAGTTAATTATTAAAAATTATCCATTTTGCATTTATTTTTTATTTTTTTATTTTTAAAGTTAATTATTAAAATTATCAATTTCACCCTTTTTTAATTTTTTTTATTTTAAAAAAATTAATTATTAAAAATTATCCATTTCACCGAGTGTTTTTAAATTTTATTTTTTATTTGTAAATTTAATTATTTTTAAAATACTAACTCACCTAAGCAGGCAACCTGATGTAATAGATGGTAAACTATTATCAGGTGAAATTGCATACATTTGAGTGTTCAGCGGTGCATTTTTTTGTTCAGTGACTTAATTGCATTTTTAAGTTACGGTGGCCAATTTGAACCTTATTACAGACAAATATGAAGGGATGTTATTTTTATAGTGATTTTATATATATATATATATATATATATATATATATATATATATATATAAATATCAATCATTTTTTTTCGTTTGAATGTAATTTTTTTTAAATAATAGAAGTATTTATGGTAGTGAAAACAAACTCCAGCACAGGCACAAAGATACTTCTGCAACTCCTGCAAATTAAATTCCTGCAATAATTCAACATCCTCTGTCGTCTGCAGACTGCAGCTTCATCATGCTCATTTGCCTCTCTGCTGTCACACTCTTCCTCTCCCTCGTCGCAGCCGGAGAACAACCAACGGCGGGGGCGCAGCTGAACTGCTCACCCGTAACCCACTTCCAGCAATACCTTCGAATCAACACCGCCCACCCCAACCCTGACTACGCTTCCGCTGTCAGTTTCCTCACCGATTTTGCAAACTCCATCCCCGGCATCCGGTCGAAGCTTTTATATTTCACTTCTCCGCCAAACAAGCCCTTACTTCTACTCACTTGGCTCGGTTCCAACCCTTCGCTCCCCTCCGTTCTCTTCAATTCCCATCTCGATTCCGTCCCCGCCGAGCCCACCAAGTGGTCCCACCCACCCTTCTCTGCCCACCGCTCCTCCGACGGAAAAATCTTCGCTCGAGGAGCCCAAGACGACAAGTGCATCGGCATCCAGTACTTGGAGGCTATCAAGGCCATCCAAAGCAGCTCCCCCGGATTCACCCCTCTTCGAAATGTCCACATCTCCTTCGTGCCCGACGAGGAAATTGGTGGGTTCGATGGCATGGCGAAGTTCGTGGAGTCCCAAGAGTTCAAGGACTTGAATGTGGGTTTCGTGTTAGATGAAGGCCAGGCCTCTCCCACTGATGAGTTCAGGGTGTTTTACGCCGACAGGGTCCCTTGGCATATGACAATTAAGGCTGTGGGGATGCCCGGACACGGATCGAGGCTGTACGATAATTCTGGCATGGAGAACTTGATGAAGTCTGTGGAGATAATCTCTAAATTCCGGGATGCACAGTTCGATAAAGTCAAGGCCGGCCTGGCAGCCAATTCGGAGGTTATTTCGGTTAACCCTGTATACTTAAAGGCTGGGACTCCATCCCCAACAGTGAGTTGATTGAAATTGCAGATGATCTCTTCCGTTTCATTAACTATTTGTCTCTTACAAAGGAAGGATTTAATGCTAATGTGGAGTTCATTGCACAGGGATTCGTGATGAATATGCAACCTTCAGAGGCTGAGGCTGGATTTGATATTAGGATGCCACCAACAGCTGACCCAGAGTTAATGAGGAAAACTATTGCGGAGGAATGGGCTCCGGCTTGGAGGAACATGACATATGAGGTTAACTCTTATCGTATTATATATTAGTTGTCATTTGTATATATGAACAAGTTTTTTCTCTTCCTAATTCCTATAGAGGGAGGGAGGGAGGGAAGGGTCAAACCTTTGTTTGTGGAATATAATTTTGCTCTCTCATTAAAAAGGAAGTTAGGAGAGGAAGGGAAAGGCAAGAAAAAGAAAGACGAGGAAGAATTGTTAGTTATGGCGCAGAGAATAAAACTGTGGGATTAATTTTCTACTTGATTACTGATTTTTCCAGTCAATTGTATTATGACTTATTTTTACAAGCAATTACTTGGTGCTTCTGTGAATAATATAATTACTTTACATATCAATAAAGGAAACTGTGACAATTTCCGCTAGATTTCAACTTTCTTAAGTTTAGAATATTTCCTTTATATTGTAAAAGAAGTTGCCATGAGTTTGCATATACTCCATACTACTTTTCTTTAGACTAGAAAGGTTATCTATATTTACTACATAGCATTTAATTTCCCGACTGTGTAATATCAATCAATTGGCTAACCAACTTGATAGGCTTCAAAAATGAATCATGTTTCGGTACATTCATACATTGCAATCACAGTTGTTAACCTGCAAGAGATTTGTCTTTTTCCAAACTGAATCAATTATATTCCTGGTCTGATTTTGTTTTCCATATTTTAAAGTTTTTATGAGTGGTAATGGAGGGACTCTATTTTTTGTTGTATTTTTTTTTTTTTTTTCTGCTTCTGCTTTTAGGCAAATATTCTAACCCTCATTTGATCCGTTTTATTGTATTCATGATATGTTATTTGTATTCAATTCTTCATTGTTGACAAAATTCTTAGGCCCCGTATGATGTTGCAGATTATAGAGAAGGGAAACTCAAGAGACTTTATGGGACGCCCTCTGGTAACACCCACTTCAGATTCCAACCCTTGGTGGTGTGTTTTTAAGGAAGCCATTACAAAGGTTGGTGGCAAAATTGCAAAGCCTGAAATTTTGTCTTCAACTACTGATGCTCGTTTCATGAGGGAAAGAGGAATTCCAACTTTGGGCTTTTCCCCCATGAAGAATACACCAATTTTACTTCATGACCATAATGAGGTTTGCCAAAGTTGTCAATACATATCACCAATCCTTTACTACTTGTAATTCATCCTCTATCCACATAGTTCGTAATGTACTTTCTTTGCAGTTCCTCAAGGACACTGTTTTCTTGGAGGGGATCAAGGTGTATGAATCAATAATCAAAGCATTGAGCTCTTTTGAGGAATATTCTTCATGTAATCAAATACTTATACAGAGCACCTGTCAGGGTTAAAATTGGTATGATCTTCACCTCCTTTCAGGGTTAATGCTTGTCATGTACTCATGTCTATACTCTGATTTGAAATTCAAGACTTTTATTCATCTTAATTTTGGTTCTGTAATTTGCAGCATTTAACAGGGTAATACTTGATTACTGATTTTTGTTGGTCTTGTAACTTCTCTTATATTGTTTGTTTTGCATAGTAAGTTTTTCTATTGGAATATCCAATCTATACCAAAATAAAAATAAAAATATTGAGGTCATTATATTTCTAAATTAACATGTAAGAAAGTTTTCTTTTTAACTTATGGCTATTTTCATCATATATTTGCTTAACAAGAATAATTAAACCTTTTATGCTTCAATTCTTGTTGGTTTTTTCTGTCTGTTAGATTTGTATCTTCTCTCCTAAACCAGGGTGACAAAAACTTCTCTCATAAATCTGCTTAACAAAGATAATCAAACGAATTAGCATCTTCTGCTTAGACTGGTTTTCCCTTACTTAAGCCACATATAAATTTTGGAATAAGGTTCAAATTGGCTTCTGAATGTAACTGAAAGTGTAATTAGGCCATTGAAAGAAAAAAAAAAAAGTGCAATTAGACCACTAAACACTCTAAATATATGCAATTTCACCTGATAGCAGGTTACAATCCATTTCATCAGATTGCCTGCTTACGTGGATGGTGAGTTGGTATTTTCAAATAATTTTTAAAATTTAACATTAAAAAAAAAAACAAAAAAAAAAAACACTGAGGTGAAATGGATAAAATTGGACGGTAAGACTAAATGTGATACAAATTACTTAGTCATGCACTTAATTTTGAAAATATTAATAGTTAAGGACCAAATGTGATACAAATCACATAGTCATGCACCTAATTTGAAAATATTAATAATTAAGGATCAAATTTGATACATATAAATAGTCAATGGACCAAAAATGAAATTTGTTTATTACTTATTTTCAAATCTGATTTATGTACATAATATGTGTTCACAGGGATAGAATTTCACAACAAAAGATACAAAAATTCATAACATAAGACACAATTACTAATTTGTTTTAGGTACAAAATTCATACTGTTAAAATGCATAATTTTATAACCAAAACACAAAAAATCACAATATAAGACACATACACATGCACCCTATTCAGTGCATTGTGAACCCTATTCCATGATATAAAGATTGTAGAAAGTGAGAGTCCCCATAATATTTTCCATCTTCTCTCAAATCCTAAGGGCCGGTTTACTAAATAGATCACAGATCTGACACTTGCTTACCTTGGTTGGATAGGGAAACCAAGAAATGTTAGTGAAGGCTAACTTAGAGGCGCTAGCAAAGAAGAGCAGAAATGTATACTATATACTGCTGCCTGCCTGCTATAAAGATTGTGAAGAATTTAGATTTTGATATTGTAAGTAATAAGTTGGTGCCTTTATTATTTATTTAGCCACACCAGGATATGCAAAATGTATCAATCAATTTGTAATACAGATGGTGAGATGTGAAATGGCCTCCAGTCCGTCCTACTGGATCCTTCCCATTTCGGAGTAAATTTAATGCACAAAAAAGCAGAGGTGAACTGAAGGCAGAAGGCTAAGGCTATAGTTATGGATGTAATAAATAAGATGATGAGTACTACATGATGTTGAAGGTGAGGCTGGAGATGACGGAATTAATCCATCAGTGGAAACATGGAACATTGTGAGATGTAATATGTTTGTCCGAGCCCCGCCTGAGACCATTGCCCATTAACTTGATAAATTTGATACGACTATCTCATCCATAAATAAATAAATAATGTTGAAATTTATATAGGATGGATGACATTTACGAATCTTCTTCTAATGCTAGCAACATTGGCCAGCAGGTTCAATCCTTCGGATCGGCTGTTATCTAATTATTATGATTAGGAGAGATTTAAAAAAAAAAAGAAAAAAAAAAAGTCAAACTAAAGGAATAAATAGCAGAATTTGGATGCCTACCTTACCAAACAAGGTATCTCATATTCAAGACTGGTAACATTTTGTTTCCTGGCCAGTGGCCTACCCACACCCTCCTCCTCCTCAATGACGCCAGCCCACCATTTTGTTCTACTAATAAAAAATTTCATTTAATTTATTAACAAATCTATTGCGTATACTTGTGAAAAAAACCACTATCTGTCCCTTTCAATCGTACATCTTTGTTTACCAAAACCCATCAGACACTGGAGCTCTCTCTCCCATGTCCCTCCTATATAGCTTGTTTCCTGGTGCCATTGTGGAGTACGTACACCGGTCCGGCCTATAGAGTTATTGTTTAGTATCAGCAACAGCAACAGGAACAGGAGCCATGGAGAACGGAAACGGGTGCAGGGCGGGGCAGGCGGTTGAGTTGAGAGTTAAGCAGTTGGGAGAGGCAACGTTGGTGCCCCCGGCGGAGGAGACACATAGGGGGCTATACTTCCTGTCCAACCTGGATCAGAACATTGCGGTACCTGTTCGCACTATCTACGGCTTCAGGTCGGGGCCGGGCGACAAGCAAAATTTTGGGGAGGTTATTAAGAATGCCCTGTCTCGAGTTCTGGTGCATTACTACCCCTTGGCGGGGCGACTGACGATTAGCCCCCAGGGGAAGCTGATCGTGGATTGCACGGGCGAGGGGGCTGTGTTTGTGGAGGCCGAAGCTAATTGCCGCGTTGAGGATATTGGTGACAATACCAAGCCTGATCCTGTCACTCTTGGCAAGTTGGTTTATGACATTCCAGGCGCCAAAAACATCCTGGAAATTCCTCCACTGGTGGCTCAGGTTGGGATTTAGTTTGCACATTTCATTTCATGATCTAATTGCGCATATACATATAAAATTAATAATTGTAAAAAAAAAAAAAAAAAACAAAAACTAACAAATTCAGTTTTCATAAACAACGTATATATATATGTACGTACAGGTGACCAGGTTTAAATGTGGAGGGTTTGTTCTTGGGCTGTGTATGAACCACTGCATGTTTGATGGGATTGGAGCTATGGAATTTGTTAACTCCTGGGGTGAGACTGCGAGAGGCCTCCCCATTAAGGTCCCTCCATTCCTGGACAGAAGCATCCTCAAGGCTAGACATCCACCCAAAATTGAATTCCCCCACCATGAGTTCGCAGAGATCGATGATATCTCCAACACCTCCCATCTCTACGACAAGGAGGAAATGCGTTACAGATCCTTCTGTTTCGACCCGGACATGCTCCTGCGCCTCAAGGCCAGCGCCATGGAAGACGGAACCCTATCCAAGTGTACCACTTTTGAAGCTCTGTCTGGGTTCGTCTGGAAAGCCAGGACTCAGGCGCTGCGAATGAAGCCGGAGCAGAAGACCAAGCTTCTGTTCGCGGTGGATGGTCGGTCCAGGTTCCAACCACCCCTCCCTGCCGGATACTTTGGCAACGGGATCGTGCTCACCAACTCCCTCACCAGCGCCGGGGAGTTAGAGGAAAAACCCCTGTCCTTTGCGGTGAATCTGGTTCAGGAGGCGGTGAACATGGTGAGCGACGCGTACATGAGGTCCGCAGTGGACTACTTCGAGGTGAGCAGGGCTAGACCTTCGCTCACCGCAACGCTCCTCATCACCACCTGGTCCCGCCTCTCCTTCCACACCACGGATTTCGGCTGGGGAGACCCCATTGTCTCCGGCCCCGTTGCGCTTCCCGAGAAGGAAGTTATCCTCTTTCTTTCTCATGGGAATGAGAGGAAGAGCATCAATGTTCTCCTGGGATTGCCAGCGTCTGCCATGGACACTTTTGAACACCTTATGCCGCACCACTTCTGAATCGATTTCATTTCTATTTTCTTGCCTTGCCTTGCCTTGCCTTATGCGTCGTCTACTCTATTGTACTGTACTGTATTATTATTTATTTCAATTCGTAGATACTAAAATGCACGCTTGCTTCCTTCCTTCTATTGTATACCATACAAATCGTTTGTCTTTATCAAAAGCAACAATTTTTTTTTTATTTTTAAATTTTAATATAAAAAGGGCAGCTGTTTGATGTAATTAAATTGTGAACATTATATTATTCACGAATGGGATGGAATATATGGACAGTCACTGCTTTACTTAATAACGATTACCACTTTACTCTACCATATATCATTATTGGGGTTGGCTCCCCGTATCCGAGTCGAGTCAAACGGTTCGGGTCAAGATTTACGGGTCAAAGTCAAACCTGCTTGTGCACGTGCCTATATAAAGGGCCTTTACCTTCCATTTTGGGGATTCCACTCGCTCTCTATGCATTGTTCTCTCCGTTCTCTCTAAAGCAACATACAAGAGCATATGAATAAAAGAGATTGCTTTGTTCTACATCTCCTTGTCCATTATATTGTTCATACACATACATTCTATAGCCCGGAATTATCCACATCAGGGGTGTTTGGTAAAGAGAAATTGTAATTTCTTTCCCACTTAATTTTAACAAGTGAAAATTTTCAAAATTTGATTCGAAAGAACTACAATTCCTCAAATATGAAGAAATGCAAATCCTACCTCTCCCCTAGAAATTACATTTCCATAATACATGAGAAGAAATTTTAAAGTATGAGAACCAAATTATCCTCCTTAATAATCCTTCATCTTTCCTTAGATATTGGCCCTGTTTGGTAAAATGGCTGTTAGCTGATTGTGTTAATTAAAGGGTATAAATAATTGATAACATTAGCTGATTGTAGAAAAGTGTTTGGTAAATTAGCTGTTAGCTGATAGCTGTTTAGTATAATTCCTTTTCTCAAAAAGCTAATTGAAAAAGTTGCTTGAAGTAGCTTTTTGAATTTTAGTCATTTGGAATTGTAAAAATCTAATTAACCAAACATTTATATTGATATTTTATCTAAATCAAACAATTACCAAGCATGTATATACTCCACATTATTCTATATGTTGGTCGAGAGTTGAGACTTGTATTCAATCCATCTATCTCAAAGTCTCTCTCGGCTTTACATACACACCCACTCAAACACCTGATGTTGAGTGTAATAAACATGCCATTTAAACAAAACACTTGAGTTATTCTTTGTTTTAAATTGATCAAAAACTTGTGTTGCAATGATGAAAATAGCATATGCCATCTTTCTCCAGTCGTTATACCCTACACCACGGCGCATATAGCACTGTGTGCCGCGCGCCTCCCAAAACGACGTCGTTTCGGGAGGCGCGGTAGGAAGTTGATGGGATTATGTGTATTTGTTCACACAATTATGTGTATTTGTTCATACAGTTATGTACATTTTTTATACAATTATGTACATTCTTTTTATACAATTATGTACATCCGAATCAGAAAATTTGTGTGTATTATGCTAAGAGTTGATGTATATTATGTTAAAAGTTTATATTTATTATGTATTATGTTAGATTATGTGTATTATCTTTTAAAAAGAGTATATATATTTTGTTATATAATTATGTACATTCATGTATACAATTATGTGTATTCTAGTATAACATTATGTACATTTTTGAACAACAGATTTTTTTTTAAAGAAAAAGTTACGGACAGGAAATTTCTAAAAAAAAAAAAATAAATAAAATTAAAATGACGTCGTTTTGCATCTAGGCGCACAGTGCAACGCGCACCGTGGTGTAGGATATAAATTGACATCTTTCTCCACCAGAGGGAGGGAGCAAGAAACGGCAATAAGATAAGAAGCAGGCTGTAGCTTCTAAAACGAGTCTGTCCAATCAGCCCGGATAACAAAACCAAGCATAAGCATTTGGACTGACTACAAGGCAAAGGAAGCCAGTTTGCAGGCAGCTAGAGTTGTACAGGTATGTATGTTATGTTGAACATTTTTGTAATCCCTAACTACCTGCCTGCCTGCGTTACATAGATGTACATATTGTGTTATGTATATAGGAGTCGTAACCCCATCACGCACAATTAACAATGTAACATTGCATTTAGGGTAAGGATAGGGTTGGGTCAATCAAATGTGAAGCACTACTATTATACCAACACAAAATATATATAAAAAGTAATTTGCACCCTATCCCTACTGCATTGGTGCATTAGTGCGTGCATATACAACACAGATGGGATGACGATTGAGGCTAGCTAGCTAACACATCAAATCAAATATAAACTAGATTTCAGCTACACCCAACTTCCCATTACTAGACTTTTGACTTTCTTTCTAACATCATTATCTTATCAAGGAGCTCTTGGATAGTATTTGAGGCATCCTACAACAAACAAAAGTCAAATCCAGTAAACCATATCACAATCATCATTTAATAATAATAATAATAATAATAATAAGATGATATTATTTCTATTTCAAACCTTCAACTTCTTTCTCAGATTTTCCTCTTCCGTGTCACGTCGTTGCCGCTCCTCAGAAAAAATGTCTATCAACCTTTCTTGATCCTTGTTCAGTTCCTCAATTTTTTGTTTCAACTCCTCCACCTGATGTAAAAACAATTCAACCTATTTTCAATTTTCGCTACTAAACACACACACTTCCACACAACATACGAAATTTAATGATTGTTACACAATCTCAACATGCAAAACTGATGCAAACAGTGAGCGAAGCAAGATAAGAAGAATATCATGAATGCCCACAAGTAGAATACACACACATGTAAAGAAATGATTTGCACACAAAGCTGAAAACTGTGAAAAAAAATATACCTGAGCTTCAAGTGATTCACATCTCTCTCTTTCATTCTGTAAATCATTCAGCAAATCACCTAAAATATCTTCCTCTTTCCTTTTCAGTCTGTAGGAAAAGAAATATGATTTTAAAACTAGTCACAAGACAATTACGCATGCTCTCAATAAATCAGTAGTAGTATTAAACAAATATATCAACCTTTCTTTTAGTTCACAGTTCTCCTTTTTCAACTGATTTATGGACTCCAATAAGGAAACTGACGAATGCGAACCTCCGCTCACATTACCAATATCTCGCTGTCAGACAATAAAATATGGTAAAAGCATTAATATGTGAACAACTTGAGACTACCTAATTTTATCCGCATCTATGATTGAGTATGAAATGTGATATTAATGAATGAAACATTTAAACAATTCAAACAGTTGATTCTATTTGCACATCTGGCACGCATAAACTAATACAGATCAATAAAACTACCACGAATGATAAAATTGAACAAAAAACTACAAAATACCTTGAATTCTGAATTTCTTGTGACATAATTTTGTCTCCCAGGTGACCCATCTTTGTTAGCTTCTCCATATGTAAATCCTGGAGGCGATTGCATTGTTTTACCAGTAGCTTTTCCACTATTTTTGCTAGGAGTTGACTTTGGAGAAAAACCATTTGCTGTATTCTTTTCCACACTAACTTGCACATCATCATCACTGTCATCTTCAAGGGGCACCGATGACTCTACATGTGTTCTTCCAGATAGTCTAGTTCCAGCACTCTGCTTTCCATTGAGATGCCTAGTATCATGACTCTTGTCAGACTTTGCGGCACTCTTATTTTTATGTTGGGGAGTTGGAGTGGCAAAGTCATCTTCTGATAAAATAAACAGTTACAAATTAGTAAGGCCCTTGTACTCTCTCTTTTTTTTTTTTTTTTACAATCTGATTTTTCCTTTTTACCAGTCAAATTGAGATGCTCAAGAACAATATCATCAATAGCCTCCAAAATAGGAAAATGATAACATTGTAGTAATTCCATATAACTGTTGTAAAAGCGGTACTAAATACAAGTGATGGTGGTAAGTACCTCTTTCTTGACTAGCTTTCCTTTTCCACCTTATAGAATAGCCAATTTTGTGACAATTTTGTGTCCTAAAATGAACATGTAAGAGCAATTAATAACATTTGAAATTGAAAATAATATAAATAAAATTATAAACACAAACTGAATTTTAATTTATTTAAAAAACAAACAAACAAGCACTTGGAGCATACCAATATGTCTTTTGCATTTGAACTAATTTTGCCTCAAGTCGTGCAAGAACAGTGGTGCGCTCAAACCCTTGCTTATCATGTGCTGGTTCAACAAAATTCGCCTCCAAAACGCCTACAAAGTAAATGATGTGAAATTAGCAGTTAGGGTGCACAAACATAGAAACTACATGCTACAGGCAAAATCAAACCTATGACTCCACGACCATCACTTCCAGCGGGATTCCAAAGCCTCCAAAATGGCTAACAAAAGAAAGGAAATTATAAGTGCGGGAAAAAAAATAGCAACCGAATAATTAATTAGAAACCTATATGAAGAGAAACAGGGCAGTAGAACAAGGTGCTTAACTGCTTATAATATAAAACGAAACACAGTTGCAGAATTCTTAAAGCCTGTTATAATTTAAGATTGGACTAGAGTCACTCAATTAGCCTTAACCCATATGTTCTCTCTTATTTCTATCAATGTGGACTCTTAACACTCCCCCTCAAGTGGACAACTGGGCAATTTTGAATCTAACCGGTTGACCACTTAAAATTGGACTAGATCCTCCCCTGAAACAAAAGCTCTGAATGCCACCAAAAGTGAACCGAACAAGCGGGCTTACGAAAGCTTGGACGCCACCAATACCCATTACCGGGTGAACCCAAGGTGGACTGAACATGCTCTGATACCATGTTATAATTTAAGATTGGGCTAGGGTCACTCAATTGGGCTATAATGCACATTGGCCAAAGTGCCAAACCACACTAAAAGATTGAATCCAACCAATTAACTAGTCTAACTCATGGCCTTATAAACCCATATGTTATCTCTTATTTTATCAATGTGGAACTCTTAACAAAGCCATTTACACATATGAAAGGTGATCAAGCCCTAATCAAAGGCAAAGCCTGTTACAACATTGCATATACATGCATACATACATATAGAAAAATAATAAAAATTCACTGAAACAAACTGGGTGAACCTAAGCAGGGAAAAAAAAAACAAAAGCAGAACCAACAAAAACACATCAAAGAAGCATAACCAATTATAAGACTACAGGACACATCAACAGCTGCACCAACT